GCCTTATACATGTTCTTATTGTCTTACAGATGGTAATGGTACTGATTTACCTTTTTGTGTCTGTCAATATCCAATAAACAGCATTTGAGAGCTAAGCAATTCCAAGCAGATCCTGCTGCACATTCTGTGCATTAAAAGCTCAGAAACAAAAGGTTTCACTCAAATGTCACATGCAACTTTGATATCTTGTTCATTTCTTGAATGGATGTGCTTACTTTCAAGTTCATTTAGGGCTGATGACAAGTGCCATACTGACAAGCCCAAATTTTTCCACAAATTCCTCTTATCTTCATGGTATTGGAACCTATCATCTTCCAGTTGGCCATGAATTTGTGCAGCACATCCATTCCATGTGAGGTTATCTTCCTTCACATCCTCTTTCTGGTGAAAGTCGTGCACACAAAGCCAACATGTTTGGGTAGTATTTTTCTGAAGAAGTTAAATTCTGCAGCCAATTGTGTCGCACAGCTGTCACAGTGTATGTGGTGTTAGTTCCTTCCTGCCTCACTTGCAAACTTCCCAACAGTTTCTGAATCCAGTGGCCACTTTCAGGCACACTGGACAAAACAGAAGAGCTATCAAAGATAAGATGTTCCTAAAAAGCAGTGAAAACCAGGATTTGGATAGAGGATGGAGACCCCAGTGAGCATTGTGAGTGAGGGAAGGACTGCAAGGTGAGAGAAGTTTGAACCTATCCTATTTGATTGCCTGCTGGGAAGGAGCAAACATATTTGAGAGCCAGGCAGTACCACATGACTCAAAACAGGCAGTGGCACATGTTGCTTTTGGTTTCCCCGGAGTCAGAGGATCACTGGAGAAGAGATGAGAGTCTGTGACGTATTTCAGGCAGTGCATGGAAAAGTGAGGTCATGGGAAATGCTTGCATTGGTTGTCATTATGCTTATGACATCCAGAGATCCCATAGAAAAACAGGCTGCATCAATTTGCATGATCAGGAAATAACTTGTTTTAATATTTGCCTGCTCATTGTTCCCTGCAGAAGAAATGGGTTATGCCAAATGCCTGGCACTGCGACACAGAAAATTGAGCTGCAGGATGTCCCCAGAGGCTGGTGCAGAACAGTTTGTCCTCTGTGCCAATGTGTTTCCATGTGCAGAGCTGTCACAAACCTCAGATTCCCCTGCAGATACAGGCAACTGAAATTAGTTTCACTCCTAAAACAGAAAATTCACTCAAATTACCTTCTAACGTGGCAAACAGAGCACATGTCCACAAGCTGCTGCTACAGGCAAAGTTTTGTTAACCTGCAGTCAGTGAGTTACTCTAATTTCACTGTGATGCTGCAAGACAGGAATGAGATTAACTAGAATGGAAGTTTAGCAAAAAGCACACATCTGCAGGACCATTAGTAATGATACCATTGCATCTTTTTCTGTACAAATGTATTCCCAGTAATGACACATCCTTTTCCTGATGTGCTTAGCTTGTTTTTCCTCTTACATTTCCCCATGCAAAGAGTAGTAATTGCAATGAAATGAAGGGAGAATCAGAAGAGGAGGATATATAGATAGATAGATATGTACTGTGACAGTATGTCTTTCATCAAACAAAACGAAACTTCCCCTAAAGCAATCACACTGTGCTCAGGAACACATGTTGCCCCATCATGGAGTCCTTCTGACTGATCATTAGTCAAAATCAGAGCTCTTTCCTTTCCTGCCTGTGCTTTTACACGGAGCAGACACATTGGTAATGAAGATGACTGCCTGCATGGGCTTTGCACATGACCTTTCTCCAAAAGCAATTCTTTCACATCAGTTTTCCATCAAAATCCTCCTGTCCAGCTAATTCCTATGAGGCATCCTTAGGCCTCCCAGCTGGATGGACCTATTCCCTGACCTTGGCATACATTTTATAGTTAAACTTGCAAAAGCAAGCAATTTTTCAGACTGCCAGTCCAGGCAAGAAACCCGGGTTCTAAGAAGCCACACACTATGCACATGTTTTGTTTTACTGAGATCACTGGATTTGGCCAGCTGCTGACTCCTGGATTAATGACCAATACCTCCTCCCCTCAGGTGTCCCACTTAGGTTTTCCCTGGAGAAATGGGGCATCCATCAGACCTGCTGGGATTTGAATCCCAAATTACTTTGGACATTGACCTTTCCAACACTGCATGAATTTTTTTAAGCAGTTACTGAAATCTCAATTAATGATTTATTTATTTTATAATTAATCAGCCCAATGGAGGAAAAAGGGATAGACTCTGACAGCTCCTTATTCCCAGAGCTGCTTATCAGCATGTACAGTAAACAGGGAGAAAAATCATAAATATTTAATTATTCCCCAAGATAAGGGATTTCAGAATGAAGAATTGCTTCCCAGTGGAAGACTTCAGTGCAATGTACCGAAAATGGGTCACAGATTCCTAGAATGTAAAGTTTGTCATGGGCCTTCCCTGGAGCAAAGGATTTTGTCCCACTCCCACACAGCTCCCAGGGATCCCAGGCAGCTCCACCTCAGCATGGGAAGCCAGGGCTGCACCTGAACGTGTCT